AATTTATCAGTGTTCTAGGCTGTGAGGGACTATATAAATGGGGAAAAGGCCCAAGATCTCATGCACAGCTAGGAAGTGGCAGAACAGGAAGGGACTACTGAGTCCCTAAATCTGTGCTCTCTGAATCACTGTGTTTAATGACTGCCAACCACCCTTGTGGGCTTGTCTGAGGAAGCTAGGATGGTGAGGCTCTTGTCCATTGTCAAGAACAGTCAAAGAGTTCATATTGGACCTCTTTATCCCCACTCATCACCCCGACTGAGCTCTTTTGACTATGGTTGTTTTACTGACTATGCATTTTAAAGAGTCTTTACTGACTTTCATTTGACAGCACAACTTCCAGGTTGTCCTAGGGATGGTTCCTCCACTTCCTTCTTTGAAGCACTGTGTAATGTTTTCCACTGTTACACTGCTCCTTTCTCTCTCTTCGTTTCTTCTCATGTTCACTTACCTGGTTTGCATTGTGCAGGTGTTTCCTGTGTTCTTGTTCAGTCTCTGCCCTTCCTGCCATCCCTGTGCAGTCAGGTGTAGATGGCTGTAAAGCAGCTTCACCAAAAGGAGTAAGGAGCTAGGCCACTTGGATCAAATCCTGACCCCTTCACTTACTAGCTGTACAATCTTAACTAATTTACCGTATTTTTCGGACCATAAGACGCACTTTTTTCCCCCCAGAAGTGGGGGGGGAAAGTCCCTGCGTCTTATGGTCCAAATATAGCCTACACATATACTTTAAAAAAAAAGTTTTTTTACTTGCCCGGCTCTGTGTGGTCTGTGTGTGCTTGCCCGGCTCTAAAATGGTTCTAAATGCTGCTGTTTACTTTACAGGGTTGATTACATGTGTTTATGACTGTGATGTTGGGTTTTAATGCACATAAAATATTTTAGGACACTATTTGTTTCAGAATCTTTTTTTCATTTCCCTTCTCTAAAAACTGGTGCGTCTTATGGTCCGGAGCGTCTTATGGTCCGAAAAATACGGTACTTCTCGTCTCGGTGCCGCTGTTTTCTGTTTTAAAAATCTGCTTCTCAGCTCTAAAATCAATGTTACTATACTAATTCCTATATCATAGAATTATTATGAGGAATAAATGAGCTAACCCACATGAAAGTGCTTAGCTTAGTGCCTGGCACAGAGTAATTGCTCACTTAATCAATTTTGTTCTTACATTTGCCTGATGGCAGGTAATTTACATCAGAAAATCCCACTATTTGATGGAGACAGAAATTACTTCAAACACTACAAGGAAAACCCTTCCCCAGGAAGAAAACAAAACAAGCTCTCCCTTTAAGGTGCTTCCTATTCCTTTAGTTCCCCCTGGCCACTACAAAGCATGTTGGCTGACTGCCACTGGGACCTCAGAGAGCAAAACATCAGCCAAGTTTTGTTTTTCTCTTAACTCTTGCTATTCCTGTCTCACCAAATCCCTGCCATCCTGCAAGAGAGAGTTGGCAATAGCTTCATGTTTGGGTTATAGTTGATCTGAGTCTTGTGGTCCTAGGGGACTGGATAGAAAGCTGGGGGTACAATGGCTTTCTGTTCACTTGTCTCACAAAAAGTCATACATAAAAAAATATATATAATTTCTCAAAGGTGAAAATGGAGAGACAATATTACTGCATGATTTACAACATAAGTTTTGGAGTCAGATCTTCTTTTTGTCATCCACCATTTATCTTATTTCAATCCTGTAATCTTGAAATAAACTGCAAACTGTCCATACTGCTAGGATCTACCCAATTTGCCTCTCAGTATTATCTACATCAGGCGTCCTCAAACTTTTTAAAGTGGGGGCCAGATCACAGTCCCTCAGAGAGCTGGAGGGCCGGACTATATGAACTACTAATTCCTACTGTAACACCTCGGCTGCGCTCACTGCCCAAAAAACCTGGCGGGCCGGATCAGACTCCTCTGCGGGCCGCATGTGGCCCGCGGGCCGTAGTTTGAAGACGCCTGAATATATATAAAAGCCTAAGCGACTGTTTGACTGATAGCTATGATCTGCAGTGACCACTAGGGGGCAGATGCTCAACGCACAGGCATGGAAACATGGAACAGACTGATGAATCTCAGTAGGAAAGGGGGAGTGTGGAGGTCGGGAAGAGGTTAACCAAAAATCTTATATGCATACAAGAGGCCTGGTGCACGAATTTGTGTACCAGTGGGGTCCCTTGGCCTGGCCTGCCGGGATCGGGCTGAAACCAGCAGTCTGATATCCCCCGAGGGGTCCTGGATTGTGAGAGGGCTCAGGCCAGGCCGAGGGACTCCCCAGTGCATAAGTCCATGTACCAGGCCTCTAGTCTATCATAATAAGTATAATATACTAATTAGATCAGACCTCCTTCCAGACAACGCCGGGCTGTGACGGAAGCCTGGTCCTGTGTGCCAGAGGAAGCCGGTGCCAGCAGCTGGGAGAAGGCAGGCCTATTCTTGTATGAATTTTGTGCACCAGGCCTCTAGTACTATGTAATTTTCTCACTTCTTGCTCTTGTCCAAAACCTCAATTATTTTTTTCTCTAATGCTTGTGGTATCATTCTTCAGGCTTCCACGATAGAAATCCCTAAATTAAACTTTCTGTTCTCCTCTGTCCACACCTTTATCTTATCTCTTAACCTTTGCTAAGGTTGTTTTTTTCAACTCTCTTCATAAGACTCTTCCAAGTCCTTCAAGGTCCATTCCATGCACAAAAAGGAGCCTTGTCCCTTTTTTTTTTTTCATCAAGAAGCAAATATGTTGAACATGAGCAAAATGCCAAACACATAGGAGCACTTAGTAAAAATTTGTTGAATTTTACTAACTCCAACAAATGTATTTTTGACTACTTCATCATACATGCAGATATTCTTTAAACCCCAGTGACAGCAATTTATAGTTTCAGTGAGTTGTTTTATTTTTATACACTTAAGGAAGAGTAAGACCACTGAATTCAAAGAAGAGTTTTAAATTGTCCAAATCAAAGCCCTATTCTCTTATAGACAGGAGGAGGAGAAAGCTCTTCCTGTATGTCAGGCTCTGTACTGAGCGCTCTATCAATACTTACTCATTACAGTACAATAACATTGTGAAGTAGCTGCTATATTATCCTCATTTTACTGATATAAAAACTGAGATTAAGAAAGTTTAAGTAACTTGCCCAAGATAAAAAAGGTTATACATAACATGGTTAAATCAGGACCCAGACATTCTGGTTATGGAATGTGCAGTCATCAGCATTATATTATGCTACCTCTCACACCACTGTAAAACAGGAAAATATTTAATATATCACCAAACTAACCCCAGAATGAAAACAAAACAAAAAACTCCTAAGTCAGACCATACACAGTCAGTGGAACATAATAGATTCTTATTAGAAAAGACAGTCCTTTAGACTCAACTCTTGTTTGTTTATAACCCCCAGAAGGATGCTCTCCTAGCTGTACTCTTTGTTTTGGCTTTAAATTATAACAACTTTGCCATAGTTGGAGCTGTTGTTTTCTTTGCTAGCCCTCTGAAAGGCCACATGGCTAAGGGCAGACTGTGCCTTCTTTAAGGAAGCTCTACTTCCTGGAGCTTCTCTGGCATGCTGTCCTAGGAAACTCGGTACTGCAAGCCCCTGAGCAGCTGAATAAAAATGAAGTGGGCATTTGTATTTCCCCATTGATTGAGTTGGCTCAACCTGATGTAGGTTCAGATTCACAAAAACACAGACAGGCTTGCTTCCAGGTTTGCAATGGAGATGGAGGAAGGCAGACTTTGTGCCCAGCTTCCTTGTAAAGCATGCATTGGATATGTGTTAGTGGTACCCTTTAAAGCCAAGGCTCCAGAATTTCCCCTCCCCCACCAGTCACAGGATGATTTGTGCAAGATGCCCTACTTCATCTGCCAACTGGACCTTGTTCAAATGAGCATGCAGATCAGAAAGTGTTTATTATTATTTTTTCACAAGGGTATTATTTTAATAGTGACTTATAGTAAGATGCAATGTCTCCTAAATTATAAAAATTGCTTAAAAATATATTGATTTCATCATACTCATTTTCCTTTATGTATTGACATTTTTCAAATACTGCATACTGAAATAAATTAAAAATATGATGATTACAACATTTGACAAAAAAAACTTCTTCTCTGCCTACCATTTTTCTCATTCATTTTAAAAATAATGCTTAAGGCATTAAACTTTATAGATGAAAATACTAATAATATTCATATATTTCATAAAATAAAAGCTAGAAGAGTCTTGGAAAATAACCACACTTGAATGAAATGCTGACAAATAATTTACATATTATTCCTATACAGCATTCTGTTCATACCATGTATAATCTTGATATCATAATTGCAGATACTCTGTTTAACTTAAAATTTTAATACTTAAAAAAAATCATTGTTTCTGTCCATAATGGATGAATGGATAAATAAAATATGGTACACATTTATGCAATGGAATATTATTCAGTTTTAAAAAGAAATGAAGTTCTGATACATGCTATACCATGGGTGAACCTTGAAAACACAATATTATATGAAAGAAGCCAGACACAAAAGGTAACATATTGCATGATTCCATGTTTATAAAATGTTCAAAACAGATAAATCTATAGAAATAGAAAGTACATTAATTGTTTCCAGGGACTGAGGAAAGGGAAGAATTAGGGATGATTGCTAACAGGTGTGGGGGGTTCTTTGGGGTGATGGGACTGTTCTGGAATCAGTGGTGATGGTTCTACAACATACTGAATATACTAAAACATTTTAAAATGGCAAGTTTTGTGTTTTGTAAATTTTATCTCAATTTTTTAAATGGCAAAGTCAATGTTCCAATCAAGAGTATCATAGTCAGTATGGCCATAACTAAAATAAGAAATGGGTTCTCAATCATGAAGATGTCACAACAGGAGAATGACCGAGCAAGGGAAAATTTGGTGACATATTTAAGGGCATTGAAAGGATAAAACTGCTACTGCTGTTACAACATGTAAAAATGATCTTTCCCAGGAACTAAAGTTAAATTTTTTACAAGAAGCCCAAATCCTCAAGTAATACAATCAATCATTTCAATATTGTCAAACGTATAGGAGTTTGCACATAAATGCAGTCTATTTACATCATTAAGGAACTAGTCCCTGGAGGTGATTTCCCCTCTTTTCTGAGAAGGATGAAATTTTCATCAGATGCTGCTTCTGGATGGCGAATTTCAAATAAAAATTGTATACACAGGAACCTTGCTGCAAGGAACTGTCTAGAGGTGAAAATAATGTCCTGACAACTGGCGACTTGGGAATGTTTTGTCTAGAGGAAGGTAGGTTATATTCATCTTCTGACTTAAAGCAGATTTCCTCTTAAATGGACAACACCAGGAGCTCTTAATTATGGGAGATACTGTTCTGAGAGTGATGCATAGAGCTTTGGAATCCTCCTCTAGACCTTCAACTGAGGGGTCTGTATATACCCTTTTTGCCACTGGAGGAGATTTTATCCATCTTTTCAGATTTAAATGAATCGCTGCCTTTTTCTTTGCCTGAAGATTTTGACTTATTTTTTTCCTTGTCTTTCTCATTAGGATAGGAAGAATCACATGGACTTTCACTTTTGTGTTTTGAAACCATTGTTCCGTTTTCTTCTTTTCGCCTCTTGGTTAAGTCCGGTAGCACTTCCCGGTCATTGTTTGAGTGATGCCTTTTCCGTTCTTTTCTGTCCTTTTCATCTTTTTTCTCTCTTTCTCTGGATCGTTCCCTTGACTTGTCCAAATCTTTTTTGTCTGTTTCTCTCTCCTTATTCTTGATTAGTGGTGAAGGAGTATGATTAAGGTAGAGCTTTGCTGAAGACTCCTTGAGTTCGATGAGATTGTCCTTTATTGTTGAGGTATGTGATGGAGAAGGATGTATATCAATTTTACGACGTTTTTGTTCCCTTTCAGGCTCAATGATATCTGATCGGGAAACAGGTGACTTCAAGGGCCCAGAAATCGGTCTTTTTTCTCCTCCTCTAACATTTTCTTTTGATTTTATTTCCTTTGCTATATCTCTTTCTCTAAATGACTCCTTCTCTATTTCCTTTTCTTGAGTCAATTTTGAATCTATGTTGGGGACAGTGGTCTTGAATTTCTCATCTTTAGCTTTTTCTTCCTTCTTGAATTTTTCTTTCTCTTTGTTAGTCTTAGGTGTTCTTTCTTTCGTCTCTCTTGTTTTTTCATCTTTATTTGGCCGTTCTTCCTTTGGTTTTTCTTTAACATCTTTACCAAGTACCCTGGCCTCTGGAGTAGTAGCTGGTGTCTTTTCTCTTTTTTCTTTTTCTTTCCCTTTCTCTTTGTCATTTTCTTTACTGTTTTTGCTGCTATTAAAGCCACTATTGCCGTTGCTTGAATTGACTTTCAGTGTGGCACTAGAAGCTTTACTTATAGGTTTCATGCTACACTGAGATCTCTCCCTTGATTTATCATTTTCTTCAGCACTACTTTCATGAGATTTAGATGTATTTCCTATGGAAGATGAAGAAGACCCACCACTGGGCCCATTTTGTACACTGGCAACTGCATTCCTCGGAGTGGGGTCTTTGTGATGAAACTCATTTTCAGGTATCATGTAGGACTTCCTACATTTCAACTGCCCAGAGTAGCCCATAGCTAATGCATATAGATCAGGCCTTTTCTCTTTTTCTTCTTGGCAGATTTTATGTACTCTTCTCTCCAAAGCCTGACCCAGATTTAAAATTTTTGGGTAACAAGGAAGTATTTTTGTTAGCACAATCAAGATATTCCTAATGTGAATATATTCACCTGTTTCAAGGCAATGTACTGATGCTTTAGTTAGTTTGTAATGCCACTTATGTACAACATGTCGAAAATTTTCGTAGTCTAGTTGATCAGCTTTATTTCCACCATCGAATCCAGTTGCCCGTAATATAGTAAGAAATCCTGGATAATTTCCACATTCCTTTTCATATGTGGCTCTATCACTGTGCCACCTGGTCACAGTCTCTAACATGCAGCATAGAAATCTCCCATATCGACTGGCTTCATTTTCAGTACAGCTTGCAACTGTGAAAATTATGTCAGAGAAAACTCGATCATAGCAAAGAAGTGTGGAAAAATTTGGAGTTTTCTGTTGATGTACCAATTCAACAAAACGAGCACAGTAAACAGCATCAATTGCGGAAAAAATACACCGAGGGAATATACACAGCTGTAAAAATTTTGTGATGGTCTCATTTTTGGTAGATTTTGCTAAAAGCCAGTTGTCCTTTTCCAGTTTCAGTCTTTGTAGAACTCGCTGTACATGTTCCATCTGTTTCTTTTCTTCTTCAAGAAGCTTGTCCTGAAGAGCACTACAGCGTTCCTTCTCTTTTTTCTTTTTATTTGGTGGCATTTCTTGATTGTCATCAACTGCTTTCATCTGGACTTTAAGTTTATTGACTTCCCGTTCATAGCTGATGTGTGGAACTGCAAGGTCATACATTGTCAATGACCAGAATGTGGCGTAGAATCGAGGACTGATGTCATCCCAGACTTTGGAAATGTGTAATGAGACTACTGCTTCATGGACAGGGGCCATCACCATTTCACATGATGTAATGTACTTGTGGACTTTATGCTGCTGTTTACTTCCTTTGTCTGATTTTTTAAGTTCCTCATATTTGGAAGAAATATGGTGTGCATACATTGGTCTAGACAAGAAAAATGCTGCATCATGGGGTATATGAAATTCGTTACAGAGCACATCAATTGAAGGTACTCTTTTTATATAATCTTCTGTGCTTAGATTAGATGCTAAAAACCCACCAAACTGTACAAGGGTATCATGACACTGATCATAGAGCTTTCCCACAAGTTTCAAATGTTTCTCTCCACCTTCCTGAAAGATCACCCCATTCCTCTGCTGAGCTATAATCAAACAAAGGGGAAGAGCAAGATCATAGTCCAATAGAGCATCCTTTAATCTCTGGGAGGATTTTTTAGTGTTTCTGATCTGGCCAAAATAACCTCCTTCAGCTTTTAGTTGTTCTCCACCAGTCATGGCCTCTAGTTGCTCCATTGTCATTTCCTCAGTAATTTCTATTCCTGCCATTTTTTGTACCACTTCTTTCAATATAAGCAGGTCAAAACTTCTGCCCGCTTTTAGCTGATTAGCCACATATTGCAGAAGACCAGCAAGATCAATTGGATATTTACGAAAAACTGCACCACAGAAACTAGCAAGACTCTGAAGCCAGCCTGAAATGGTTGTGTCATCATGTTTCATTCTTTCTTTTTCTGGATTAGCTAAAGCTTCAATGATACAATAGGCCAAGATATCATAATTCAATGAAGTGAGGTATTTCAATGAATCTACTACAGGTGTTATTAAGTTATCATACTTCTGTATTTGTGACAAGATATAATCAAACAAAATAGTTGGATTGCTGTGGCTCAATTTCCCAATTTGTCTTCCAGAAGGCTTCACATTTTCCTTGGTTAGACGTTTCATGATATATTTAACTTTGTCTATTGTTTGAGCCTTAACTTTTACCAGAAGTGGATGACTATTATAAGTTTCATTCTTCCACTGGCCATACAGACGATATCTATGCTGATATGGAAATGTTTTAAACATTCCCCATAGTTCCTCAGACATACAAGCATTGCAGTCCATCAGAGAAAGAGATGGAAGTAGTACCTGGTCAGTAATGCTAAGTAAACAGCTAAGAATAACTTCCATTTTCTCTTTATTTTCTTGTTTGCTTCCATCAGACTGAAACTCCTTCATAAATGATTTGCCTATGCGCACCACTTTTGCAAATAAAATGGGATCACGAGAAAGGTGGGGACCAAGGTAACAGAACATATTGAAGACATCTGTCCTCAAATCCTCAAAGCTCTCTGCTTGTTTTGGTGCTCTCTTATTTTGCAAAGCATTAACAGGTGAGCCTTTAGCACCTTTAGGAATACCAACTCTTCGGTAGAGTGGCTCAATAGTTATGTGAATAAGCTTGCAAATAGCAAGAGCTATTAGCTTATGTGAAGCAGCATAGTATGGAGGCATCTGATCCATTATGTTCTGTGCATGCTGCCAATCGCCAATCTTTAATAAGGCTTCTAACAAACCAAGTTTTTGGTTGTCAGGTGGCTTTTCTACTTTCTCCTCCTCTTTTTCCTTTTCCTTCTCTGGCTTATCAATTTTTTCAGAAGACAACACAACCATCGTGAGCTTTCTAACAATTTCCTTAGCTTCCACCATTTCTCGTTTATATTCATCCATAATGCAATTATCAGCTGGAAGAAGATGTACATAAAGGTCATTTAAATCAATAAGATTCACTTGTAGGAGCACTGCTGCCACTCTGTATAAAGATGAAGGAGTCTCTCCATTTGGCTCCTGGTAAAACTTGAATTTGAACCCAAGCATATGACAAAGTATTTGCGGTTCACACATACTCATGTAAGATTCTAATAAGGATATAAAGAAGTCATTATGTTCTGGTCTGCATTCAAACACTTCTAAAATGACATCCAAAACTCTACTGGGATCTAGATTAAAGCATCCTATTAAAGATTTGATATTTTCTAAGATTAAATCACTAGTAATATTTCCCGATAAATCTTGCCCCAACTCAGCAATCAGCTTAGCATACCCTTCATTCTCTTCTCTTAACAAATTGAACTTTTGCTGCTTATAAAAGAGTTTTGTCTTGATTTTAACTGACCTTTGATTGAATTGCTGTGATTGTTTGATAAGTCCTAATGATTCCAATGTTTCTGGATCCAGGCGTTCCTTTAGAATCGTGTCTGAAACGAAATACAAACACGCTAATACCAATTGCGTAAAACAGTCTCTCTTGCTCTTCTCTTCTAAGCAGGTTGTCTCAATATCTAAAATGCAAAAGACATCAGCAAGAACGGAGGGCATATCCTCACGAAATTCGCTGATGTCATTTAAAACATTGGACGCTTGTTCGGGCTTCAGATTTCCTCTAATGACATGGTGCGATAACTCATAGAGAGCTCGCTGGAAATCTCTGTAAGTCGGACTGCCGGGGCTTCTGTTTTCACTGAGAAGCCAACACAAGTCCAAAAAGTCGCCCTTCCCTGATTTCTCCCAGTTCTTTAGCCACTCTGCCCGGACCAACGCCGCCGCTGCCGCCGCCGCCTCCATCTTCCCCGCCTTAGTAACAGAGGCCCGGATGTGCCGCACGTCAGCGCGGGGTCAAAGGGAAGCCCCGCCCACGAGGAATGCCGGGAACGGCGAGTTCTCTTCTCGACTTCCGGCCCCAACGACTTCTGGCCGCGCAAGTCTTCTCCCCAGAGAGTGGTTTTTTAAAGGGTGAGTGCATCTGTTGCGGCTAAAACAAAACAAAACAAAACAAAACAAAACAAAAAAAACCCGATCTGTGACGCCAGGTGCCATACGCTAGCTTCCCCTGGGCTTTTCAAGCTTCATATTGGTTCCGGAAAAGCTGTTCCTCCGAAAAGCCTCGGCCTCGATCGTGTGCGTGTTACAGCGGTTTAAGCAAACGTCAGCTTGGTTACGTTATGTTTCGGAGTCCGCGCTAGATTTGTGGCAGTGACCGTATCTTGACGTGAAACAAGTTTAACAGTCAGGTTCCTGGTGTTTATAAAGCACGTGGTGGGCGCGCAGGGAGGAACGTGTGTGTGTGTGTGTGTGTGTGTGTGTGTGTGTGTGTGTGTGTGGTGTGTCCTTTGGCGGGAGAATGAGCTGCCCGCTTAGGGAGGCAGGGGTTTCCGAGGGGTCAAGTATAGAGCACACCTAGCGGAGTGCCCGGAGTGTCCAGCAACCACATCATAACATGCTCTGCTGTTCTCTGGAGCAGTAGTGATGCAGGGTGTTGTTGTTTTTTTGTCCACATGTCAAGAGTAAAGTCTCCATCTGATTCAGTGAAATAGCTCTAGATTTTTTGTACATAAAGCGTGAATTTCCCACTCCACACCGATGGACATCGTGGCTAATCATTCAGCTGCCCGAATGCAGCCTGCATCCGACTCTTCACAAAAGGCTAATTGGATTTTGTGTTTGAAAATGTAAAAACTATTTCTGGGTTTTAGAAGGTCTAAAATAAACTGCGTCTTTTTTTTTTCTTCCTCTTATTTGAGCGTGACAGCCAATGCAGATTTCTCCGTTCTCTCCTACACGTGTTTGGGTATCATAGCCTTTGCCAAGCGTTCTCCAAACACATCAGGAAAATAGGTCACTTCATCTGGTCTGCCCACCTCTGGCAGTGGGATTGGGATAGATGTTTTGGGACAACATGGTATTATGCTAAAATAAATAAGAGAAGTCAGTCAGACAGAGAAAGACACATACCCTATAGTTTCACTTATATGTGGAATCTAAAAACAAAGCAAGCGAACAACAACAACAAAGTAGACTAATTGAAACAGAGACCAAAGGTATGGTTGCCAGAAAGGAGAGAGGGGGGAGATGGGTAAGAAACAGAAGGTGAATATAGTCAGTAATGTTGTAGGTTTACATGGTGACAGGTGATTATTAGAATTGGTGGGGTGATCACACTGGAAAAGATATAAAAATGCTGAATCATTACATTGTGTAACTGAAACTAATATACGGTAGTAAGTTTTATACCAGCTATACTTACATAAAAAATAAATCATAAAAAGTTTGCCCATGAACTTTTGTTAGGAAAGGAACATTACTAACTTATGGAGGACAGTAAGATTTGGAGCATTTGTGATTCATTTTCAAATTCTTAATATTTTTTGGATTTTTCCATTATAATAATCTGTCTCAGATTATAGGTCTATTTTTAATCTTAATTTGCCCACTGGAGTGTGAGTCCCCTGAGTATGGGAGAATGGCTTTATAAAATTATTTGTACCCAAGAAACTAGCCGTTTACTTTGCATGTGGTAAGTTTGAATGAAGAAATAAAAATCTGTATATTTAGTAGGAACAATTTTATCACAGTCTCTCATATACCATGAACCAATCATAGACCTGTTCCAATGACAGTTTCTCTTCATTGCGAAAAGTTTTCTGAAAGCAGGGACAGCTGCATTCCTTTCTTTCCTGCTCATTTTATCCTGAGAGCAAGGCTGGCTTCCTGGGTGTGCAACCTGTGCAGTAGGGTAAGGCTTAGAAGGGCCCTGCATTTGGTTTTAGTGCTCTGTTGCTTTCTTAGAATTCTTAATAATTTTTGAACAAGGGGGCCAGCATTTTTATTTTACACCTCGCTCCACAAATTATGCACCAGGTCCTGCTTGAGCGCCTGTTGTATACATGGTGTGCTAGCCTGGCAGCTGTGGATTAGCCTGCCCTTCCAATTTGGCTTTTCTTGTCCCAAGTTGAATTCATAAGTAATGGCTGGGTGTGTGATTGGTTTAATAAGAGCACTCCACAGCAGCCATCATATCAGGGAGAGGCATCCCTTGTCACCTAGGGTTCAGACGACTAGTCCCGAACCTTACCATGCAGGCATTGTAATTTGGTTATAAAGTGTCAGTGAGCAGAATCTTTAGAGATAGGGACCTGGGGAGGGGCTACCAAATATAAATGACTTCCAGGCCCTTTCCTCCAGCTGAGGACAGGAGAAAGGAGAAGGAATCTGAGCCCCAAAAGCTCCTCAAGAGATCTCTGGGGAACCATGTTTTGGACCCCTTTCTCCTGCTTCTTTCCTAGGACTCAAGTATCCTATGATAGGTAAATGCTTTTCTGATTTTAATGTGTACAGGAAACATCTACCAATCTTGTTAAAATGCATGTTCTGATGCAGTAGGTAGGAGGTGGGGTTGAGATTTCTGCATTTCTGAGAAGCTGCTGATCCACAGACCATACTTTAGGTAGCAAGCTGACAGAATTGCCATGTTTTAGGTTTGGGCAGATCCTAAATTTCTCTTTTCATCCTGGCTTATGTTCGAGCTACCTTCTTTCCCTAAAAGCAGTCTGGTTTACCCTTTCTTTCTAATACACATGCTGGCAGAAGCCAGCACAAGTGCATGCATGCATGCATGCTATGACTTAGAATGTGATGAGTTTCAAATAAAAGTCTGTCTCAAAATGCCTTGAACAATGAGATATATTATCTTACACAATTGAAAAGCAGAGATTGCCGAAAGCAGGCTCTAGGCGCAGAAGTGCACATGACTTCATAGTTTCATCAAAGATCCAGGCTTTTTCCTCTCTATTCTGCAGTCCTCGGCATTGCAAAGTGGCTATGACTGTTACAGGCATTTCCTTCACATACAACAGCGTCCAGATGCAGAAAGGAGCTTTCTCTGGATGTTTCTGTTTCGAACCCAGATATGTTCTCCAGGAGCCCCAATCAAACGTCTCACATTTCCATTCAGGCGTCCATTTCTAACTCATAAATTTACCCAGGGGAACAAGGTGACTGATGTCTTAGCCAGGATAATCAGGTTCCACTTGCTGGAGGCAGGGAGAAGAAGCTTAGCATTCCTTGAAACACATGGATGTGAGGAGGAGTGGATATCTGAAAAAAAGTCCAGGTTATGTTGGAAAGAGGAAATGTGTTATGATTGGGGAGAGAAGGAAAGGGTACTGGCTTGGCAACGGACCCAGTGTCTGCTCACACACACTCCCCAACAAAGGGCCTTCCTTTCAGGAGGGGCAATACACCACTGCATCCAGATTTGCAGCAGGGACCCTGGAGATCCAACTCCTCTTTTTTTTCTTCACTACATTAATCATCCTTGAAAATGACCTCTAAAATGTTTGGCTTTATTTTAGAAAAATTAATTACAACTTTTTCCTGGGCAGCTGATCATGGATACTTAATTACACTGCCGGACAAAAACAGTTGTGTGACTGCAAAATAAATACCAGATTGGTTTTGCTGTTGGCTTTACTTGATGGTTTGAGTTCCATTAGTAATGTCATCTTCATAGCAAATGCATCTAGACAAATAGAGGGAACTTAAATCCAACACTTTCCTGGTCCTGTTGTTGAAATCCCATGATTTAGCATTTGCAGCCTGGTTCTGTTTAGACACTAGATGAATTTTACAGTAAACAACTTTTTAAAAACCAGACTTCTTGATAACATTCCTGGAAGACCTAGGGAACTTCCAAAAATACTTTTAAAAGTATGTTAAGAAAATTTGTTCTTGGTAAAAGTTGTATAGCTAGAATATGCACTGAATGAAACTTCTGTTTTCATTTATTTATGAACTAGAGGCCCAGTGCATGGATTTGTGCACCAATGGGGTGCCTTGGCCTGGCCTGCGGCAATCAGTGGATCTCTGCGCCTCCACAGCTCGGCTTTACCCACCAGCTCGTCAGGCTCCAGCCTGCTGTCCACATTGATTCCGTACAGCACAAAGTAGGGCAGGAAGCAGTAGGTGGCTGGGGAGAAGCCCAAGCCTGGGCTGGGCACCACGCCACTCCCATTCATCCTGGCCCACTGTGCCTGCCGCTGCCGCCACTCAGGTGCGCAGGGGGAGTGTCCGCGGGAAAGCTTCAAGCTGCCACAGCTCTCCTGGCCAGCAGTGTCTGTTGGCTGAGCGGCACTCCCACCTTGGGAGCACACTGACCACCAGGAGGCAGCTCCTGCATTGAGTGTCTGGCCCCTGGTGGTCAATGTGCATCATAGCTACCGGCTAATCATCTGGTCATCTGGTCACTTGGTCAGTACATTCATTCACACACTGAAGTCCAGTGCCTGAGTTAAAATCTGAGTTATGTCATTGACTAGCTGTGTCACCTTAGGCAAGTTACTTAACTTGGTTTTGTTTCGGTTTCCTCATCTGTCAAATGAGGATAAGAATAGTACTTATTTTTCTCAGCTGTTGTAAATATTATGCGTGGATAAAGAGAACAGTGCTTGATATTGAGTAAAACCTCTGTAAATATTAACACGTTTACATATTTTTATTTGCCTTCTCCATGGCAGGCCCTGTATTACACACTTTGTCTGTAATCCTCAAAACACTCCTAAAAGAGTATCTGATATTGCAAATACCACTAGCAAATAATAGCTAACATTAAACTGAGCACCTACTATGACTATATATCAAGCACTATTTGGGTACAAAACAGGATCATCTCATTGAAACCTCATAATAACCCACAGAAATATGGTTTCCCCATTTCAGATAAACTAAAGAACAGAGAGATCATTAGAAAAAATACTTTAGCCTTTTTAGTTGTCAAAAGCTAATCTCAGGGCATGGTGAAGGAATATAAATTATGAAAAGGAAAAGAGAACTGAAGTACTCTATAAAGTGAAGTTAGAATCATTTTAAGTATCCAGGAATTTCCCAGGCTTAGAAAGGAGGGAAGTGAGC